GAACTCATGGTGATGAAGCAACCCACGGATTATGCACCTGGTGATTTGGAGCACTATAGTGATATCTTGAAAAACACCGCTGCCATGTACCATGGCAACTGAGTTCTCTCCAGAACTCCTAAAGCGAGTAAGAGTTTTAAATGGATCAATATCGTCAAACCTATCTAAGTATGGTTATGGACTGCAACAACCCATGTTTCTACCTTCAGATTTTAACCAACTCCTCGATCGATTAGAGTCATGTATTGCTTCTAATCATGCTGGGAACAGTGGTGTATGCCATGAGATTGTAGCCATTCTCGATACCATGAAAAAGAGTGGTTTTATTAACAGCAAAGATTACAAGCAAGCTCATCGTAACCTTCTATTAATAAATGTTAATCATTAAGAAAGGATACACACGTAAATATGTTGCGGGTGGTAGTGGTCTGTTTGACACGATCGCTAATTTAGCTGGACGCGTGTTTACCTCTTCTACCGCAAAGGCTCTAGGAAGTAAAGCCATGACTGCTGCCACCAATGCAGCATTAAAAGGTGTGGAAAAAGGAGCTACCAAAACTGTGGATCATGTGGTTCGTAGAAAACCAAAAACAAAGACTCCTCGTCATCGTTTGAATAACATCATCTCATCCTCTAAAAGCAAAAAAACTCCTCAAGCCCGTTTAAACAACACCATTTCAGGTAGTGGTATTGCAACCATTCACGACTTCGTCAAACGTTATAAATAAATGAATGATATACTTAGTATCACAGAAAGTTTGTCTTTTGTTGAAAGTATTCAGGAATATCAAGTCCATGAATACTGGAGCATCCTTAAACACTTCAGGTTCTGAAATAAGAATCAACATTGAAACCCAAGATTTGTTTGCATCCAGCTGAAAGATATTTTTTGTTGGAAGGACGACTTCTGAAAAACGACGACACAGCGTATGCTGATGCAGATCTGGTCTCCCTTGTTAACAATAGTATCATGTATCTCTTCAAAAGCATCGGTTATAAACTGTCTGGTCAGCAGATTGAATACCTCAATGATCCAAGTATAGCGACTACTATCTTGGGGCTGTTGACGTATCCCGACGACTTTAGTAAATCGCGAGGTCTCAACCAATTGTGGTATAAAGATACAACGACTGACGCCGAGGCGGCTGATAACACTGGTTTTGCAGCTAGAAGTGGTTACATCATCGCAAAACCTACAACCAAAGGAATGTTTTCATTCGCCTTCCCTTTAAAACACATCTTTGGTTTCGCAGGAGATTATGATAAGATTGTGTATTGATTCAAACACGAACTCACACTCGTGAGAGACTCTGATGAAAACGCAGTGTTAAGAGCAGCAGTGGTAGATCCAGCAAAGATAGTATTAAGTAAACTATCCTGGTTCGGTCCCCTCCGATGACAACAAGATGAAATTATACAAAACATTCCAATGCAAAACTAAACTCAACTGTGGTTTCCGCATGAGGCAGTGCGCTTCCATATCTGTTCCCAAAAGTAGAGAATTCACTTGGCGACTCTCTGCCAAGAGTGGACGGGAGAAGCCTAGATACATCATCGTTGCCTTCCAAACCGATAAAAGTAACAACCAAGAACATAATGCAGCCGTGTTTGATCACTGTCGATTACAAAATATCAATGTCACCCTGAATGCTCAACGTTATCCAACCGTAGACTTTAACACCCTCTTCACCCAGTGTCAAGTATCTAGGGTGTACAAGGAAGTCGCCGATGATTTTCATAAAAAAATTTCCAACATGGATCATCTCGTTAGCAATAGTAACATCAACCCTTCTGACCTGATAGACCTATACCCTTTGTTCGTCATCGATGTGAGTCACCAGTCTGAAAAGTTGAGAGAGTCTTTGGTTGACTTTCAACCAGGGCAGAATTCGGACACAATGTTCCAGCGAACAATTACATCGAAGCCTTTGCAGTGGTGATCTCAGACTCACTCCTACAGTTCGAGTCTGATGGACAAAAGATGAACGTTGTGTTCTAAAGAAAAATGGATCATCACTTGTTACAACGCATCTTTGAAAATACAGCACCTAGGGAGGGTTTCTCTTTCATTGTGTCTGCTAATAAAAACAAAATCGATACCAGGTTCAATCCACCCATTCACTTAAAAAATGGAAAGAGTTATGAAATGGCTCTGGTCAACCTGGAGACTTACTACTCTTTCCCAAATTTTCATGCAGGGAACAATACCTTTCGTTATTCTAATGATAATGGTGCCATCTGGTCTACCGTTGCGTTAAACACTGACTCTTACTCTATCGAAAACATCAACAACGTGTTACAAAGAAATCTACAACTCAACAAACACCTCACCAAAATCCAGATCGGTGCTAATCACAGTACACTAAGGGCAACACTTAGTTAGAAACTATCAAGTCGATTTTAATGTTGCCAATAGCATCAATACAATACTGGGCTTTACGCAGAAATCTACAAATACGATCGAACTACAAACGGTTACACAGAGGGTGAGACCATAGTCAACATCATCAGCATCAACAACATTCTCGTAAATAGTGATATCATCAGTGGTAGCTTTGTCAATAGATCACAACAACCCACCATCTACAGTTTCTTACCAAATGTATACCCCGGTATGAAAATCATTCAAACTCCTAAAAACTTGGTCTATTTACCAATCACACTGAACACCATCAATCGCATGAGTGTTACTCTGACGGATCAAGATGGAACTCCCATCGATCTGAGAGGTGAACATTAAAGCATACGTGTTCATCTTCGTGAGATATAAACCACCTTAAAGCTAAAACAACTAATGACTTAATATGGAACACAACAACAGATGTTATTGGTGCGTGTGTAAATTAAACTCTGACGTTGACTCAGTATTTTGTCCCGTAGACAAACATTACCAATCCACATATTGTAAGTATTGGAGTAACATTACAGTAAAGGATTACATGGTAGATCATCAAAAGTACGTAGTGCTTCCCCAACCTTTTTGTTCGTTTGAATGTTGTTTAGCCTTCATTGAAGACAATACGCATGATTACACGTTTTTTAGGAGTAAAGCGTTAGTGTTAGACATGTTTAAACAAATCAGTAATGAACCCTTACCTTGTCACGCTAGTCATGGTATGATGAATTTAAAAAACTGTTTGTAACTAAAACGTATTACATGCAACGTGCTTTACTGTTAAAACCCCTTCAACACGAGTATGCTGTAGTGAAAAAACCAAAGTAAAAAACGGTTTGGTTTTTTACGGAATTAAACCAGTTCCCTAAATAAGAAATCTTCGTTAGGTATAAATAAATGAACTATCATACGCATGGTCTGAATTTGACACAAGGTCAAGCCCATAAATGACAGAAAGCAGTCAAGAGAATGGTTGTCCCTTTAATATTCGTTAATCGCATGCTAATTTAAAGGGGAACGATAAGATGTTGCTCACTCAGCGACAAAAACAAAAGATCGACAAGCTGGTAAAGGTGGTATGGTCTTGGAGTTAAGTGTAAAATAACTCAAACAAAACATGCGAAAGGAAGGTTGTTTTTGGGAATGTTAGCCGAATTAGCCATGCGAGCTCTTCCCATGTTAGCTAAAACAGTACTCCCCGTTTTAGGTGTAGGTGCTTTGAGTGGTTTAGGTAGTGCTGCCATGAGTAAAGCCGTTGGTTCTGGTCTCTACCTTAAACGATGAAGTAATGTTTGCATTTGTAAAAAACAAGGTAAAGGTCTATATCTCACCCCAGGTCAACTCCCTAACACCTATGGAGATGGGTTGTATTTAAAACATGGAGGTAAATTTTATAAAAATGATAAACATGGTAGTGGTTTGCTTTTAGGTCCCAATAGTCCTTTAAGTCAAGTTCCTCTTCTAGGTTGGTTGTTATAAATAAATGGATGACGTAGACTCTAACAAGCAAACGTATCGGGAAGACAAAAAACACCTTCTAGAGGTAGAGATGCTTAAATACACCAACATTTAAAAACATACAATAAACTAGACAAGGTGCTTTCCATCGCATTAGGAACCTGTTCTGTTCTACACGTTGTTTGTGCAACCAGTCCACTCAGCACTGCTGCAACAGGAATTAGTGACATAGAGTTTACAGGTATTGTTACATGTTTAGACTCCTACTACACTGAAAAACAACACTTACGACTCCCTAAGAAAAACACGTAACACACACCAATAATTTTTAATCTAGTGTTTGCTAGATAAATAAAATGCTTCGCTGAGCGCAGCTGGATACGACCGCAGAGATCCAACCCTGAACAGTTGGGGCAAAAATGGACACAATATTCGCGCTTGATACAGGTCTGAATTTGGATTGTAATTAAATATTGGACACATAATAGGTTTCTGACACAGAATAACTGTATTCAAAGAACTTAGAATTGGTTATATGATTTGAATTTATATTCAATTTTTTGCTTTTTTGCAATTCACCATGCTGTTGCGTATTGACCCCCCCCCCCCTTTTATTTTGCAAAAAAAAAAAAATATTTGAAGAAATTTTCTTTTTAATTTCTGAAATCTGAAATGAGAAAAAATTACCCCCCCCCCCCCCCAATTTTTTTTCACCTCCCCCCTTTTTCCTAAAAAAAATATTCTTTCCCTCAAGATATGGTCATAATCTCAATTCAAATTTCCAATGCAGTTTGCAACCATAATTACCAATTTAAATACATTATAAAAGTCTTAAAATAGAAAGAACATACATAATCATGGCTAAAATTAATATTCCTTTAATAGTAACTTCTAATAAAATGCTCCGCTGGGGCGCAGCTTGATACGACCGCAGAGGTCGAACCCTGAACAGTTGGGGCAAGAATGGACACAACATTCAAGCTTGATACAGCACTGAATTTGGATTGTAATTAAATATTTGACACAGCATAGGTTTCTGACACAGAATGAAAGTGATCTAAGAACTTAAAAAATTTTAATTTATCTATTCAAACCATATCATTATTATTTGCTTTTATATATAAATCAGAAATAACCAATTTAAAATGGAAAATTTTAAAGAAAAAAAAATGAAAAAAAAAATCCCCTCCAAATTGTTTGAACCCCCTTATGATTCATCACCCCCAAACTCAATCCCAGCCTTCCCTTTGTGGTTTGGTACCTTGCAGTACAATTTCAGAGATATCCATACACTTGAACACAGGTTATTGTCTGGAAACTAGAAAAATGCTTATTTTTGGCCCCTAATTCCTAAAATTTGGAGGCAATTATCCCCAAACTCAATTCCAGCTTTCCCTTTGTGATATGGAACCTTGTAGTACAATTTCATAAATATCCATACACTTACACACATGTTATTGTCATGAAACTAGAAAAATGCTTGTTTTTTGCCCCTTTTTGGCCCCTAATTCTTAAAATTTGGAGGCAATTACCCCCAAAATCAATCCCAGCATTCCCTTTGTGATATGGAACCTTGTGATACAATGTCAGAGAGATCCATAGACTTACACACAAGTTATTGTCATGAAACTAGAAAAATTCGTAAGGGTTCCGCGGAACCCAGTGTCTCGCCTACTTTTGCTGTTAATCGCAGGCTCAACAAAAATGAGTTAAAAAATTAATAAAAATATTCCTCTCTATACTATCTTTTGATTGTATGTAGCTTCTGTCCAAGTTTGGTAAAAATCCAGGATGGTTTTTGAATCTAATAAATGTTTTTAAAACTTTAACTGCAGACTGTATGTAAAGTTAACTGGAAGAAAAACTAAGTCCATTTATAAGTAAAATACGAAAAATGGAACAAAATTTCCTTCTAGATACTAGCTTTTGATCATAAACAAGCTTCTGTCCAAGTGTGGTACAAATCCAGGATAGTTTAAGAAAGTTGTTAAAATTTTAAAAACTTTAACCACAGAGTGAATGTAATGTTAACTGGCAGAAAAACTAAGTCCATTTATAAGTAAAATACGGAAAAAATGGAATTTTTTTTTTACAAAATTTACTTCTGGATACTATCTTATGATCATAAACAAGCTTCTTTCCAAGTTTGGTAGAAATCCAGGATAGTTTAAGAAAGTTATTAAAATTTCAAAAACTTTAACCACAGAGTGAATGTAATGTTTCCTGGCAGAAAAACTAAGTCCATTTATAAGTAAAATACGGAAAAAATGGAATTTTTTTTTACGAAATTTACTTTTGAATATAATCTTATGATCATAAACAAGCTTCTGTCCAAGTTTGGTAGAAATCCAGGATAGTTTAAGAAAGTTATTAAAATTTCAAAAACTTTAACCACAGAGTGAATATTTGTGGACGCCGCCGACGACGACGACGACGACGACGCCGACGGAATGTAGGATCGCTATGTCTCGCTTTTTCGACAAAAGTTGAAGGCTCGACAAAAATGCTTGTTTTCTGCCCCTTTTTGGCCCCTAATTCCTAAAATTTGGAGGCAATTACCCCCAAAATCAATCCCAGCATTCCCTTTGAGATATGGAACCTTGTGGTTCAATGTCAGAGAGATCCATACACTTACACACAAGTTATATCTGGAAGTTACAAAAATGCTTATTTTTGGCCCCTTTTTTGCCCCTAATTCCTTAACTGTTGGTACCATAACCCCCAAAATCAATCCCCACCTTCCTTTTGTGGTATTGAACCTTATGGTAAAATTTCATTGAGATCCATTCACTTAAACTAAAGTTAGAGTGCGAAAACTAATGTGACTTCGGACGACGACGACGACGACGACGACGCCAACGTCATACCAATATACGACCACAAAAAATGTTTTGCGGTCGTATAAAAATTAATTGACAGCTAATCACCTCAAGACAATACAACATCTTTATGCATAATTTAAAAGCAATGTAAGGGAGGTAATCCAATTTTTTAAATACTTTAAATGTATTTGGATAACCTCCCTTACACTGCTTTTAAATTGTCCATTAACCAGGAAACCCTTGTTATTCCCCCTTTTTTGCCCCTAATTCCTAAACGGTTTGAGCCATAACCCCCCAAAGTCAATCCTTACCATCCCTTTGTGGTATGGAAACTTGTGGTATAATTTCAGAGAGATTCATACACCCTTCCACAAGTTATTGTCTGGAAACTAGAAAAATGCTTATTTGGGCCCTTTTTTTGGCTCCTAATTCCTGAACTGTTGGTACCATAACCCTCAAAATCAGTCCCAACCTTCCTTTTGTGGTATTGTACCTTATAGTAAAATTTTATAGAGATCCATTCACTTAAACTAAAGTTATTGTGCGAAAACCAATGTGTCTTCGGACGACGACGACGACGACGACGACGCCAACGTCATACCAATATACGACCGCAAACATTTTTTGCGGTCGTATAAAAATGAATTGGACTTCACTGGGGGGTGTCCTTCATAAAAAAACTGTTTATACGTAAAGGTTAATGAGTGAGGTGAAAATCCTTTGAGGTTAGTAATCAAGTTAATGGTGTCGTCGTTAATAAAGTTGTCTTGGCAAAGTAAAGCGTGGTAAGTATGAATCACTAACCAATGGTGTTGTTTTTGTTTTATAGAACAATTAAACCGTGGTAAAATTCTAGTGTACAATACTAACATGTATTGGTAGACACAAAGTAATATGGTGGGGTAATTACGTATAAACTGAGAAAACCACTTTGTTTTTTAAAAGATTTGGGTATTGCATATTTACTTCTACCATTGGAAAGGGGTGATATAAAAAAAATAATACATCAAGTACTTGAAACACAGACTGTGGTATTGTTTTACATGGCATAGTGTAATCTACCTCATAGTTCTTAAATTCATGGTGTAATATGGTTAGGTCATTTTTCCATTTTACAGACATTCTATTTCGTAAAAAAGCCATCCTAGTATAACTATTATTAACTCATTTCTTTATGATGTCTTCTCAGTTTTCACCACTATTTTTTTAATCTAGTGTTACCTAGATTAAAAAATGAATGGGTATTCATTCATACTTACATTCTAACCAATTCGTATGAAAAATACTCTTGTTTAGTCTTTTTACTGATTTTAATCCCTGTACTTCTTACAAAGGCACCTTCCAAGGGTTCCTTCTCTCTGTTTAACGCACTGCAAGCCCACACCCTTGTCGTGTCCTTTTCCCTAGCTTTCAAGGTAAGTATACTACTCTTATCAAACTTGCCATCTACTTCTTTCACTTCTACAATTTGGTAAATAACCCCGGTGGGAAGGTCTTTCCATTTTAAAATTTCTTCATTTTTTTGTTCCTGTACCTTGTCTTCAAACGCATTAACACTCATAAAGTCATTATCAAAAGAAGCCATCATAATATAATACTATAGTACTCAAGTCTTTATAGTTAATTTTTTTTCAATTTTTCATCTAAAACGCATTAGTCACTGTCACTATCACTGTCACTATCACTATCACTGTCACTATCACTATCACTATCACTTTCAATAAATGCTAATAACATCCGTGAATTCTGTCGACGAGTCTGATTTTGTATTAAATTGAAAATGGGTTGTCTGTAAATTTCATACATCATGATATCAAAAAACTCATCGTCAGTATACCCAAATTTGTCTTGAAGGGTGTAAAGAATTCTAATTAACTCTAGTGGGTCTAACTTTTGTATGTTAGAGAAATTATGATAATCTATCGCTAATAAATGAGTCCAAAGACACACTTCTGCAGAAACATTCTCATCTATGTCTACTATATCTCCATATTCATAAAAAAAAATCCTCATCATATCCAATACCATCATAAAAATCTTAAACCTTCATTAAGTTTATGTGATAAAATAGTGGGCGTTGTTCAAAAAAAGGAAATGTCCTTTTGTAAGAGTTGAGGTAAGTCATCTCTATCAAGATCAGCGTCAATAATTTTTCTTATGCAACATTGTAGTATGGTCATCATCTTTAGTTATACTTAGAATCTTTATTGTCTTTATTTCAATTTTTATGACTCAAACGAGTTGACCTTGTTTGAATCAATTTGATTTTTTTACAAAGTGCGATTTATCCCTCCCTTAGACAATATACTTGTATCTACGTTGGCCATTCTTTTTCATGAAACAAAGCAGGACCATTTTTTAAATTTGTCTTTTAGTTAAGAATGAGTAAAATTTGTGAAAAGGGTAGAAAAGTCAAATGTTTTAATTCCATTGCACTCAAACAGATCCTTAGAACTTTTAAGTATCCACATCTGATTCACACCGTCCCTAGTGTAGGTAGTTTTACAATAACCTTGAAGCCCGGCTTTGATTGCTGATAAAATTGATGTAAAAAATGTAGAAAGAGGTTTCGTGGATCACTTGGAAGACCCTGCAAATTTACGTTGTTTGTAAAGAAACTTAAGTAATTTAGGCATCCAATACAGTGAAGGAAGATCCAGTTCTTATCACTGGTTGAAATTCCAAAAGGAACATAGAAGAGACCTATGATTATTCGGGATTTCCTCCTTGGTAAGTGTCGTGGGGGTATATGTTGATTTTCCAAATGAATTGTCAATACCCTATCCCTTTTTCAAACAGTTTATGAAAGGTAGCACTCCACAGTTAGGTGTGTAGTTTCGCATTTTGGTTTCTGGTTGATTTTTTTAATTATGAAAGCTAGTGCGAAATAAAAGTAATTTTTGGATAGCTGAAGATTAATATAGCCTTCAAAGTGGTTAAGGTGGTACCAAACACTTTGACTAAAATTAATTTGGCTCTTTTAATTTTCATAAAATTTTGACAAAATATTTACTTTGACCCTTTGACAAAAATATAAAAATTTCAAAAAACTTGAACCACAAAAAAAATTTTAATGGATATATAGCAGTTTGAAAAACACTAATTTTGATCATTGAGAAGCTTAATATTTCCTTAACAATAGAATGTGATTAAAACGTTCAGCTGATTTTTACAGAGTTATCTCTCTGTAGTGTTATCTACAACTTAAATATGAACATCAAGATTGCGTAACGTATGTATTATGGGCTGTTTTCTGTTGGACAGTCCGTATTTAATTAATTTTTGTATCCGTACAGGACATTGGTCCAGAAATTATTGTAATGTTTTTTCAACCTTTTTGTCACATGAATTTTGTGCTACCTTATGTGATTCACACACAAAAACGATGTTGTTTGGGGCTTTTCTGCGGGGACATCAACATATTTTTCATGGCAGTAGATTAGGTGCTTAGCAACATTTTAATCTTTGAACATCGATGTAGCATGTGTATTCATAGACCCATGCAGTTTTTTTTATACTAATTTCTATCAACGACCCCACAGCCTTAACATATTCGGAAAGAGTATCTACGTCTTCCTTTCTTGCGTTTAGCCCATTGCCTGGCATAATCCTCGACTGTATCCATCAGTATTTTAAAGTTGTGTTTCCAATTGATGGATTTAGGCTCACGATATTTCGGGCCATTGGATAACACATTTCGCAGATCGATAGAAATCTTGCAATGTTTAAAAGGTCCTACTCCAAAGCGAAGAGGAAAGAACTAGCGACTATTTAACACTGCTGCATAGAAAGATTATCTAAAAGCTATCTACCTATATAGTGATAGTACTTAACGGAATGTTCAGTCCAAAACAAAGCTCATCACAAGTCGGGGTTCAACTGGAAAGTCATGATATGGGATCTTCCCCATTACTCCCCTTACTTTTGAAGATGAATCTTTAAACATATGAATAATGTAGAAAACAATGTACTAAACTTGTTGTTATATATGGCTAATCCTTACTTTTGTGAGCCTCCAGTCCTTGACGTCTTATGATGTATGTCATTCCACGTGAGCACACCTTCTTTACCAGTCGTTCTAGAGGTTCCAATAGTAAAGGTCAGTCCTTGTTGAAATGCTTTCTTTAATAGCTTTAACACTTCTGTGCCCTCGTCATTGTAAGGAAGAAACGCCCTTCTTTTGATACCTTCATATGGTTTACCTTGCTCAGGGTGGAAGCTCTTTTTAAAGTATTGAAAGAAAATATATGCAAATGAGATTTTTTTTTCGTGCATATGCTAATGCAATTAGTAAGTTCATGTATTAGTAATCAAGTTATTTCATAGGAATAATCTTTATTCTCATAAACCATAAGTTACAACGATACAGAGATATAGTTATGAAAACAAACACCATACACACAAACAAACATACAAGCATACAACAATTATCAGTAAATACCCATATGTACCGATTAACAGGTTGTCTGCATATTGATATCGTAAAATATCAGCTGCGAGTCACAATATGAAGCCTTTTGTCGAGTGAGCGCAGCGAACGAGATCAAAAAGGCTTCATATTGTGTTGAGCAGCTGATATTTTACAATATGAATATGAATACAACCAGATAATCGATTTATCGGGTTGTATTTGCGTATTTTGCATGATAGAAACGAGTGTTTTCTGTGTTTCATAAGCAAACCGGAAGACGACGTGATAAGTTCGGGTCAAACTTATCACGTCGTCTTCCGGTTTGCTTATGAAACAAAGAAAACACTCGTTTCTATCATATATTATGACGTCGGTGATATGTTCGGGTCAAAGTTATTAATGCCGGGTCAACGTATTTGACGTCATAAAGCCGTGATATGTAATTTTATTAAGAACTGAGCCGAGTGATACAGACAGAGAGACGACCGATAAACAAATATATCATTATGTTCAATATAAACAAGAATGAGGGTTTATGTTATTGCCTAGAGAACAAATGATTTATCTATTTTGCGTATGAATCTACATAGTTTTTCTAATTTAAACTTGTCTGTACAACTCATAATTACTATAAATTTCGAAATAATTGGTTTTTGCCACACATTTTCATCTATTAGGTTTTTCCTGTCCATTTCAAATGTTTTACATTCCAGAATATAATGATATTCATCACCAATACAGTTATTGTTACATTTCAAACATATTGTATTTTTCCTGTCTGTACCATTCCGCCTACTGTTTCTATAGGTAGTCTATGATTTGTGGTTCTGAACTTACAAAGCGTATAGATATCTTTATCTTCCAATATATTTAAATAGTTTTCAAACTCAAATGTTTCTTTGAATAACCTATAATTGGTGAATTTAACATAAGCGAATGACATTCCTGTCTAAATTGATCATGTAGGCGCATCTTTATTGAAGAAATAAGCCAATCTGAGTTAGGAAAAAAACTGATCTGACCAAATATAGGAATAGCCAGTATCTTCAAACATTATTCTTATGAACTTTAACTAGGCGATTTAAAATGACTGTCGACCGACAATTTGTATAATAATTGATACGCTAAATAATAAAGTTTTGAATCCTTTCCAGATAAAAGTCGTGCCCAATATGTAATCATTTTAGTTTGATATCTAGTTGAACAGGAAAAATGCCAAGTTCGCCATAAATCATATAGTTTTTCGTAGAAAAGGTTTTACAATGAAAGACTTATCAATCGTCCAAGATCGAGATTGCTCAGATATCTGAGGGCCATTTTAGAACCAGCTGGGGCCAAGGGACGTTAGAGTGAGGTCAATATAGAATGAAAAATAACGACCAAGACGGGATGGCGAGTTTGTATCGAAATCGCAATCCGTAACTTTTCCAAGTACAAAATGCAGTTAAATCATATCTTATGCGACTCCTTATTCATTTTACTTCATAAATATGTTACTTTTATCTAAAGGACTAGCCTCCGTAGCACAAACGAAAGCTCTATTGCCTTTACCCCCTTTCGTCCTTTCACGTTGAACAAGTTAACACGTGACTGCGTTATATCATTCCGCGCGCATAGACTTTTTGGGAGTTAATTTATGCATATGATCTCAGTGAGTTGCATATACTAATACATTTGTCTTTTTATCCAATCTAGCATATGCAAAGGAAGCGCATGTCAACCTAATTGCAAATAAATGGGGAATGTGTCCATGGGACACAGATGATGCCCCCGCTTGCATATAAGTTATAAATGGACATAACTCAAGAACAGTAAAAGTGATGCTACCCAAATCCAATCTTGATCTGAGTTTTGTGGTAATAATCATTGTGTATAAGTTTCATAACATTTGGTTGAGGCAAACTTAAGTTAGAGAACGGAAACGAAAAAAATCAGCAATTTTTCCATTTGTAAAGGAGCATAACTCTAGAACGGTAAAAGTCACGCCACCAAAATTCAAACTTGATCTGTGTTTTGTGGTAATAATCATTGTGTATATGATTCATAACATTTGGTTGAGGCAAACTAAAGTAAGAGAAAGGAAAAGAAAAAATCAGCATTTTTTCCATTTATAAAGGGACATAACTCTAGAATGGTAAAAGTGACGCCATCAAAATTCAAACTTAATCTGTGTTTTGTGGTGATAATCATTGTGTATAAGTTTCATAACATTTGGTTGAGGCAAACTCAAGTTAGAGAACGGAAATGAAAAATTCAGCATTTTTTACATTTGTAAAGGGGCATGACTCTTGAACAGTAAAATTGACGCCACCAAAATTCAAACTTGATCTGTGTTTTGTGGTAGTAAGCATTGTGTATAAGTTTCATAACATTTGGCTGAGGCAAACTAAAGTTAGAGAACGGAAACCAATTTCTGGACGTACGGACGGACGGACGTACAGACGGTCAAGGGTAAAACTAACGGCCCCCTCCGCTACGGCGGGGCCATAAAAATAACCCAATGATTACAAGATCTTACAATGCAAGGAATTAATGTGAGATATCAATTTATTGTTTAAATTGAAAGTATGTCACTGAAAATGGTTGGTTGAGGAAAATAAAATTTCGTTTGTGCTACAGGAGGATAGTATCTGAATATTCGTGGAGTAAAATGAATTAATAATCGAATGATGCATGATTTTTCTTCTTGATGGATTACTTTTTAGACAGAAACTTACCGCCCAAAGTCTGGGTCGGCAGTTCCTTTGTTTTCTATATGGACTGTGCTCCAACGTCCAACGGCCCAGCAAGTCATAAAAACTCCGTCAGACCGTTAGAGAAATCTCGGCCTCAAGGCGTCTATACATGCTCACCTCTTGTTTTCCATCTGGAAAATCATAATATACAACCCATGTCCTTTTCCTATCATATCCAGGAAGTGACTCTTCATCAATATATATATTCGCAATTCCATTTCGTGGCTGATCACCATATACTTTGCCATACAGCGTTCCACAAACTGGACATGATGGTTTCGCTCCAAATACTTCCATAATACACTGCCTACAAAATGCATGCTTACATTCTTTCAGTTCGACTGGATCATCCATTTCACATAAACAAACTACACAGGGTTGATCTTCATCCGGGACATCATCATCATTCAGGATATTTAAGTTACCTTTCTGTTTGGATGTCTTAACATGTTTCACCATGAACCGTGTTACATCTTGTTGTGTATCAGCCAAGGTATCAAATCGCCATGTATCGTATTTCGTCATGCTTTTTGAGGGTGTATACTTATCATGGTCGTCTGGTCTAGAAGAATAAGGTCTTTTTGTGGGTGGTGGGGGTTTGGCGCTGAACGATCGTACTGTGAATTTCTTCTGCAGATCTTCAGTGACGACGTCAGAGTTGTTAACCAGGTGTATTTCCCGAATCCGTATGTTTTTACACTTGCGCAAAAACTTCTTAACAGCTTCAATTAAAGTCCAGCAGCAATTACTGATTATATCTTCATTTGGTTTTGTACCTAATTAAAAGATTGAATGAAAAATGTTGTACATTACTTGTGCACCTTTCTTGTTTGATTCGTCTATTCTAAGCGAAGTTAGGGGGGGTGGGGGGGGGGGGGGTGGGGGGGGGGGGGGGGAGGCAGTCAGTAGAACGTGGTTTATTCATTGTCTATGACTTGTCTTTGTTCAGTATTGATTAGTACTATACAATCACTGCGTCGTTGCCACTGCTGTCGGACGTTTCTTTCTCGGGGGTAGGCCTAACAATATCCCATTTGGCCCCCAAAAAAATTATTCGGAACCGAAATGTTGACGCCCGGACGTTATCACCAAATCAGCGAAGTTTTTACAACCACAGGGCTAATGCCACTGCTATTAGACATTTCGTCTCCATGGTTATCACACGCCAAGTAGTAAACACTCATGTGCTGATAAGCAATAGCATTGATACGGTCATTTACTGTACAATTTCGAAGGAATGACTTCAACTTTACCACCAGGATACCTTGGATCAATAGATTTTCTATCAAGAAAATCATTATCAGAAACGCGAGCTTTGCAATATCGTATCTATTATACTCAATTACAGCCGCCGCTGCTACAAAGAAATGGAAAGTTCTCAATTGGGAAGCTGGGAATTATAAAAGACCCGAAATGACAAATGTAAAACAATTCAAAAGAGAAAACAGCATGAAACGGCAACCACAGAATTACAGGCTACTGACTTAGGACAGGCACATACAAAATGTGGCAATTTAAACATGTTAGCGGACATCCTATCCTTCCCCTAACCTGGGAAGGTGGTGCAACATCACAACACAAGAACAAACTATACACTAAACGAAAAACAAACATGATAAACGACAACCACAGAATTACAGGCTACTGACTTGGGACAGGCACATACAAAATGTGGCAATTTAAACATGTTAGCGGACATCCTATCCTTCCCCTAACCTGGGACAGTGCTGCAACATCACAACACAAGAACAAACTATACACTAAACGAAAAACAAACATGATAAACGACAACCACAGAATTACAGGCTACTGACTTGGGACAGGCACATACAAAATGTGGCAATTTAAACATGTTAGCGGACATCCTATCCTTCCCCTAACCTGGGACAGTGCTGCAACATCACAACACAAGAACAAACTATACACTAAACGAAAAACAAACATGATAAACGACAACCACAGGCTACTGACTTGGGACAGGCACATACAAAATGTGGCAATTTAAACATGTTAGCGGACATCCTATCCTTCCCCTAACCTGGGACAGTGGTGCAACATCACAACACAAGAACAAACTATACAATAAACGAAAAACAAACATGATAAACGACAACCACTGAATTACCGGCTACTGGTTTAGGACAGGCACTTATAGAATGTGGCGGGATTTAACATGTTTGGAGTCACCCCAAAAGCTGGGACAGTGGTGTAACATCACAACATAAGCACAAACTATATAAATATGTGAAAAAGGCTTAACTCATCAGACCGATATAAAGCACAAAAACAACTTACAAAATACAAAAGATACTAAGTACATATCCTGATTTGGGACGGGCACATATAGAATGTGGTGGGGTTAAACATGTTTGCGGACCCCCTGCCCTCTACATAAAATGGGACAGTGGCGTAACATCACAACATAAGAACAAACTATAATCAAAGTACTGATGTGCTGTTTATTCGGATGAACCCAAGATCTGTGGTTTGCGAATAAATAAAAAAAATCTCCATGTAGACTACTAGCAGTTGTTTTTTTCAAGTTAAATATCAAACATTACAGCCACATTTAAAACGTTAACACGTTCACCCCCTGAAAAATTTCTGGATTTGCCCCTGTTGATCCTTACAAGCAAAGGGACAATACTTTACTTCTGTTTTCTTAACGTTTACTTGAAATTAATTTATTTATTTTATCAAACATTCCTTCAATAAAAATGATATAATAAGCAAGCTGTGTATTGGACTTTGTGTATTGTGTATATCATACGCTAATAATTAGATATCAATTATATAAAAGCATGAGATAAGAGTATATATTGTCTGCGTAGTGTTATGTTGATGAACTAAGAGTAATCTCAATGATAAATAAATATCATTGAAATCAGTGATGATATACAACTCTTGGAAACTGGATTTAAATTAATAAACATATAGACTTATAATGATTACTTAAAAATACGGACACACACATAATAATGTCTTGGAAACAATTATTCTATAAGAACTATTGTACAATATAAATGCATTCAGTTTCATGTATTAATCCCGTGTTAGTCGTAATAGTTTAGCGTTACCAGTTATCAGTCTATGGAAAGTGCGAATCGAGAAAACCGTTTCTTATGTGGAGTCGCGATATTTTCTAATATGAAATTGTTACTATGCTGAAACTCCATGAGGAAAAAGATGTTTTTTGAAGTAAAAAATTATTTAATATTAAAATATATGAATACGTTCAGTCCGAAGTTAATTTATGCGACAAACAGAAGAAGTATTAATTAAAAGAGCGTGAAATCGATTATTATCAGCCTTTCAAGGTCGTTTTGAAGGAAAAAAGTCAAATGGACTAGTTAAACGAGCAACACGCTAAGATTTCTTTATTGACATATGAACTGTTAACCTATCGTTTAAATATAAACGAAAATTCAGTCTTAAAATATGCTCAGTATCCAAGTAATAGCAAAAGTTTATGTCCTTGTAAAAATTGTACTGCTACGTTTTTCTTTTGTACAGAAATAATTAAATGCTATTTATTTAATTGTAGATGCGATATTTTGTTAATGTAGTTGCGGTATGTCTTTATTGTAACTATACGTTTCATGTTATATGAGGTAGCAGTTTTAGTTATTCTCCATTCCAAACTAAAAGACAAATAGAAAGAGTTGGTCCTGCTTTGTTTCATAAAAAAGAATGGCCAACGTAGATCAAGTATCTTGTCTTAGGGAGGGATAAATCCACCTTTGTAAAAAATCACTCCGAGTGTAACAAAAAATTCTCTGAAACTGACATTATCAAGATGTTTGATTTCTTGATTGACAACATATTTGTTACGTTTGGAGGACGTGCTTTTCAACAAACAATCGGCATTCCCATGGAAACCAACTGTGCCCCTCTTCTTGCCGACATGTTCCTTTATTCATATGAGGCTGACTTCATACAGGAACTTCTTAGGAGGAAAGAAAAGAAGTAATCAGTATTCTTTAACTTTACTTTCCGCTACATAGATGATGTTCTCTCACTATATAATTCAAAATGTGGTGACTATGTTGAACGCATCTATCCCATCGAACTTGAGATGAAGGATACAACAGATACAGTTAAGTCTGCCTCATATCTTCACTTACATCTAGAAATTGACAATGAGGGTCGGTTGAAAACAAAAATTTATGACAAAAGAGATGATTTCAGCTCCCAATTGTGAAAATTTTTATGTAGCAACATTCCAGCAGCGCCTGCATACGGAGTATATATCTCCCAGTTGATACGATAATCAAGGGCTTGTATTTCCTATCATGATTTCCTTGATAGAGGGTTGCTGCTCACAAGGAAGCTATTAAACCAAGAGTTCCAAGTGGTGATGTTGAAATCATCCCTTCGTAAATTTTACGGACGCCATCACGAGTTGGTTGACCGTTACAGAATATCCGTTTCACAGATGATAGCGGATATGTTCCTAATGTCGTAACTACAATCCCGTCCCCTTTTCCCGAATGTGACCTACCGAATTAGACTTATTACCGGTTTGTACTAACATGAGCAACATGACGGGTACCATATGTGGAGCAGAATCTGCTTACCCTTCCGGAGCACCTGAGATCACCCCAGTTTTTGGTGGGGTTCGTGTTGCTCAGTCTTTGTTTTTCTATGTTGTGTTTTGTGTACTATTGTTTGTCTGTTTGTCTTTTTCTTTTTTAGCCATGGCGTTGTCAGTTTATTTTCGACTTATGAGTTCAAATGTCCCTTTGGTATCTTTCGCCTCCTTTTTAGCCCACTGCTTACTGTCAAAATGAACTTTTGAGACATCTTTCGAAATTCTTAAATGTTCTTTAAACATATTTGTATTAGATAAAAGTTATATGGCAGATGATTTTCACTTGTTCCATTTATTGATAGCGTTTGATTTTGTCAGTTTTTATGGACTTCCCCTTTTTGAATTTGCCTTGAAGTTTGGTATTTTTGTTATACTTTTTTATATGTGAAGAATAAAATCAAGTTATGTTGTATAGACCGACCAAAACTTTCGTTCAAATTGGTTGCATCGACATAACATCTATCAAATTTCTATATGAACACCAAAAATGCATTTCCGATATCCTTACTTCATGTAAACTGTATAAATGCTGTTTAAATCCTAAACATAATTCTAAATACATGTAGATTGTTTGCGCACTTTTTTTAGCATGTTTGATTTCGTAACATGTTTAGACTGAAGAAAGTGTTTAGGATTGTGTTATGGGTCATGTTTAGCTTAGAAATTACTGTTTTAAAAGTGTTTATATTCAAGACATTTGTACATTTAATGTGTTTACTTAGAAGTGTGTTTAAATAATATCATAATTCTAAACAGGAGTTTTCAGGCATGTCAAATAGATGAACGCTGGAACATAAAGTTTACTTTAAGTAATGGAAATGAAAAACGATTCCTAGTTAACAACTACAAAATTATGTTCTTACTTTTCACATTTTAACCTATCGAATGCAGTTCTTGGTCTTTTTAATCTTCATGCATAATTCGATAAAATTGCAATAACATTACATCAAATATAGATTTCCCATATAAGAGGGCGCAAAAATGAAATTTTGATAAGGTCAGTTTTTTAAAAGAGGGACCACTAACGATAAGTCAATGGATATTTAGTATGCATTTATATTAGCAGTGGCATATTTTTATTGATATTATACGGTCTCGCCCCTAGAACGATGGTTCATTGACCGCGAAAGGTTAGCATCGCTTACAGTTAAAGTTTTTGATTAGGTCAGTTTATGGAGAGCCATT